CTTTTGTGAATTCTTTAAAAAAGCTTGGGGTTTTAGCCTGTCTCATGGCTACACTTGATATTTATGCTGTACGAAAGCATAAGGGCATGTTCTAGTTGTAATTCAGAAGTAATTTGGTGCACAGATAACTAATAGATATTCACCTACATCTTCCAACTGTATTTATTAAAAAAAAAAAAAACCAAAAAAAAACCCCAAAAACCTACAGAAAATCCTCCAAGTTGTGTGCAGAACTCCCTTAAGCTGCTGTGGTTTCCAATTTAGAGTTCAAAACCACCTGCTTGCATTTCAAGGCAAGTCTCAAGGGCTGTGTTCAAAGAATACTATTTTTGAAGTGTGTAAAGGTTTCTTTGTATTAGAAGGCAACTTTCTCAAAGGTGCACTGAGGAAATTACTGTGGATCTGAAACATCCTCAACCCAGTGAGCGATCCAGTGTGAAATGTTTTTATATAAATATATTTTCAGTATAAACACCTTAATGAGATATTGACCCATGAGTGTCCTTGACTTTTTTGTACATTGTACGCTTCACAAGGCAAGTTGTGTTTCTGACAGCAGATCTCTCTGATACACAATCTAAAAATGTGGTTCCTGAACTACCAGTATCCAGCAGGTGTTCTTGATGGGGCTCCAGCATAATAATGAACAGCGTTGTTCAGTGGTTTGGTTTTCCTTCCTCCATCCCAAAGGGATGTGCACGTCTTGTTCTGCAGCGCTTCGCTGTAGTTATTGAGGATGTGGGACTGGAGTAGAGTGGTCATCAGAAGACGCCACTGAGAAATGTATTGGGCAGTGTTATAGAAACTTAAGTTTTTAATAGGATTTTTTTGTCAGGTATTCTTGCTGCTTTTTGTTCCTTCACTGTCTTTCTATTCTCCATACTTACTGCGTTTTCTGTAATTATGTTTTTACCTGTTTTGTAAGATACAAGCAAAAATACTCAATTGGATTTTTTATGTAGAAATTGAAACTTTTTGATCTAGAAGTGTCTTGGTTTCAGGAGTGAATAGCTGAGAAATACAAAATGTTGTTTTCTGATAAATATTTTTGTAATTCAGGAAGAGAAGAGGGCGAATTCAAATTAGAGATTACTTGTTTACTTCTTCTGGGAAATGAAAATCACACTCTGCTGAGTGTGTATGGATATATTGTATTTTAGGGATGAGGAAGAGCTCAAAATAAGCAAAAAATATGAGGGAAGTCATTAGATAGTTTCTATCCCTCCTGCTTTAAGTGCCTTTATTCCATAAATCCACTTAAGTTAGGAAAACTGTTGACATTAAACTACTTTATTTGATTTAATTTACATTCATAGCACAGATCTGATTGTAACAGGCAGTGTTCATTAGACAGCTGTAAAAACTGGACCAAAGATGATCATAAGACACAAGCATCATTGTCAGAGTGGTTCTTATAATTTATCGGAAAGGCTATCCATAGCAAGTTTTACTTGAGTGGCTTTGTATGCTGTGCTTTTTAAGCATTCTGGAGTTTAGTTTGGATGTATGCAATACTCCATAAGATCTCAAAAATAGCAAGCATATACTTTTCCTGTTATTTCTGATGACGAAGAACCCATTATTTCTGAAAGTGGAGTTTTTGTCTCTCTCAAGTCAGTACAGTCAAGTCAGTAAGGTGGTCAAGACTCAGCAGAGCAGTGGGGATAACACTCTCGTGTGCCTCAGTTTGCAAGGGTGGGGGCAAGTGCACTCAACATCGGATTTACTTGAGTTGATGGTAGCTGCTTGTTCTTTTTTAAATTAGTGGGGAAAACAGTGAGGATTTTAAAACTACCTTCAATCTCCACATATTGTCAATTGGTTAAAGAAGCTAATGTTTTTGGCAAAAAGAAAAAGCACCAAACCCAGGGTGTACCTTTACATTTAAAATAAATAAACAAACAAACAAAAATTATTTCAAAGCAATGCAAAACCCATGCCAACTCAAACAAGGCGGTATGCGTTTAAAAGGTAACATCTGATGTACAAATACACCAATGGCTGATCTGTATACACCACCAAGGTGGTACGTGCCTGGTAAGTAATACATACACCCTCCAGGGAAATATTGCATAAAACATGACAGGAAGCTTTGAAATCCATGAAAGAAGGAGGAGAGGAAGAGGTGCTTAACTTCTGTATCTGTGCTGGTTGCATTAAAAGCTCATGGCAAAAGATCGAGCACCAACATAAACCTGCCTAAACAGGTTTGCCTTCAATCAGAAAGACCAGGCAAAGTTCAAGATATGATATTTGCAATATATGTGGAGTGCTGGATTAAATTATATTCCGTCCACCTATTTCAGACATTATACTTTTGTATCAAACTTTTGGATAAAGATTCTTGCAGTGTGTAGACAGTGAAATCCTGGTGTGAAGAAGTCTAGTGGCAGAATCTGCATTAACTTCAGTGGAACCAGGATTTTAACTACCAAGTACTGGCAACTTCTCTAATTCTATATATACATTTTTCAGCTTTGAAAAAACAGCATTTGCCATCAAAGGGATATCCAGTCCTTCACTTAGATAAGGCATGTTATACAAGGATGTTGGCTGTCTCTGATAGAAATTTTGGATTTTTTTTCCAACTACATGAACGTATTTCTAATGAGTCATAGCCCAGGAAAGTAAATTCAAAAAAGTTATATGAGTAGTTTTACTAGTAGAAAACTCACTACCTGGCAAAGATGTGCTATCTTTAGCTCAGCCATGTAAACAACAACTTCCTACTTACTCTTAAAAGAAAGTACCTGATGTTTGATGAAACGATCATGTTACTTTTTTACAGAACAGAAACGAAGTTCAGGCAACAGCTGGATTGTACAAAACATGTCTTACTTTATTTACCACTTTTTACTGCTAATCAGGGAGTACTGCAAAAGGTGAATACTGTTACTCATCTGCACAGTTTCATATAAATTGCAACCATGAATATGTGATCACTTGTCACATGGAAAAATAAACCCTTCTATCCCCGCATCACTGATGATGAAAAGATGTTTACAACCTTCATTATTTAATTTTTAAAGCTCTTTAGAAGGTTACTGAAAGTTGCTGTGTAGAGGAGCAACTCTTTATTCAGTTATTTAAGGTGAAGAGTCTATAAGATACACTAAAAGTTGCTTCCTAAAATGTAACTATGCATATATAACAGTATAATATGTTATTGTGCGCAATGTTTTGTGCATAGTGTCCTGTCTTACTGAGTAAACCTTGCCTGCAAGCATGCTAGGGAAGAGCAGATCTGTAACTGTTTTTCCATATGAAATGCCCATTTGGTGAAAAAATGTCTGTATCACAGCAAATGACAGTTTAGGTGATAAATTTTACCAGCCCAATGTAGTGGTATCTCTGCTGTGCTCTCACTGTGTCAGAGTTTCTCCTTAGCTTCTCTGTCTTTTAACCTACTTCTGTACCATTGCTAGTTTCTGGGGCAATACAAAATTAGTATTTCTACCTTGTAAAACCACAGCATTTTGAGCAGAAAGAGATCTTATAAACTGGGTCTCCCTACTAAGTCTCTACATATAGGTTTTTATTTTTTGTTGTGTGACTAATTTGTATGTTTTGTTTTGTTTCTCTTTAAATACTGTAATTTTGTGTAATCTTAAAATGTGGTTTGGATTTACAAGCTTGTAATGTCTTTAATATCCTTCAAAGAATTTGAATTGTGTTCTGTGGATTGCTGCTGTAGAAGGGCAAAATCACATCTCTATTCTTTGAATAGCACCATTATCACTGTGTTAATGAAATGATTTCAGTATTACAACAAATGAGTTTTTGAAATTCATTCAGTATTAAAGGGAATTGGATTGTAATTAGAGCATATTTCAAAAAGAATAAAAGGATCCATGATGTGCTTAGCTCTTAAAGCACCTAATCCTATATTAATTGTGCTTTGGGCACATCTGCCCTCATGTGAAGGGGACCTTGGCAGTGAAGATGAAAATGTTTTAGTGCTTTCCAGGCCAAACAGCTCCTCCAACAGGACAGCATTGCAAGAGGAGTACTGTTGGAGAGCACAGGGCTGCTCTCTTCCCTCTCCCTCACACACACAAAAGAAAACAGTGTTGTGTTGTAATGTTCTTCATAGGTTATTGAGGACTCAGCCTAATGTTACCTCATTGTCTTCTTGCTGTTGGGATTGAGTCCATGTTAATTTTATTTCCATAAAAGAAGATCATAGAGGTATTTCACAATCTGAAATTGAATAGTGTTTTCTCTGTGTTGTGCTATGGACAAGAAAACACGAGGCTGTCAATTCCAGCAGGGACCGTGGCGCTAGCCGAAAGTGGGAGAGCTCTGCGGGCTTGTCTGGAGAGGAGGGTGTGCAGAATGGTCAGGTGCGGTTCAGGCTTC